TGGTGATGATGGTGGTCATGGTGGTCATGATGATGGTGGTCATGGTGGTGGTGGTGGTGATGATAGTGGTGGTGGTGATGATGGTGGTGGTGGTGGTGATGGTGATGGTGATGGTGGTGATGGTGATGATGATGGTGGTGATGGTGATGATGATGGTGGTGATGGTGATGATGATGGTGGTGATGGTGATGATGATGGTGGTGATGGTGATGATGATGGTGGTGATGGTGATGATGATGGTGGTGATGGTGATGATGATGGTGGTGATGGTGATGATGATGGTGGTGATGGTGATGATGATGGTGGTGATGGTGATGATGATGGTGGTGGTGCTGGTCATGGTGATGGTGGTTATAATGATATCATTGCTCTGCCCTTCCTCTCACTGACTTCCTCTCCCGGCCCTGCCCCCAGATCCTCGGGTATTTTGACATCGCCTTCACCTCTGTCTTCACTGTGGAGATTGTCCTCAAGGTGAGTGAAGGCCCCGAGGCGGCTTCCACTTGGGCCGGGGAACCGACCTGATGTGGCTGTCACTGACTTGGCACTCACCCCAGGGCCGGTGGCAGGGGTGAGGGAAAAGTGAGAAGGTGGAGAGAAAGGGCAGAACCCGGGAGAGCAGATGGGGGCTCAGCTCACAGCCCGGGGTGAGGCCCCTCCTCAGGGGGCACAGGCCCGTTGGCAGCTCGTCCCAGCCAGGGTGCTGCTTGTCTCCCCAGATGACCACCTACGGCGCCTTCCTGCACAAGGGCTCCTTCTGCCGCAACTACTTCAACATCCTGGACCTGCTGGTGGTGGCTGTGTCCCTCATCTCCATGGGGCTCCCGTGAGCAGGGGCTGGGCCGGCCGGGGCGTGGACCCCTCTGCTCTGAGCCAGGGCCTCAGGGCACCAAGCCACGTGGGTGGGGTGGGGAGAGCACCCACAGACATTGACGGGGCCCAGGCCCCAGGGTTGTCACCCACGGGACTGACTGCCCATGCTCGGTGGGCAGAGCTGGCGGCCAGGAGCAGATCAGCAAGGAGAAGGCAGTCCCAGCAGCCCTGGGGGAAGCATGGCCCCGACGCCTGGTGCTCCCAGTCTGATGGGGGGTCCGAGACTGCACCCCCTCCCCCTATAGGAGGCCCGCTCTGTGCTGCTAGTGGGGGATGGGAACTCGGCCCTTTAGCCTGAGGCAGCCGAGGGAAAGGCGGGAAGGAGGCAGAAAGAGGCCCCAGCGAGCAGGAGGGTGGAGGAGGTGGAGGCTGGAGCTACTGCCCTTAGCCCCGCCCAGTCCTGTCCTTGGCCCCGCCCCCTTGTCCTCAGCCCCGCCCCATTGCCCCCCCAGGTCCAGCTCCATCTCGGTGGTGAAGATCCTGAGGGTGCTGAGGGTGCTCCGGCCCCTGCGAGCCATCAACCGAGCCAAAGGGCTGAAGGTGAGCAGACCTGGCGGCACCCAGTGGGCGTGGGGGCGCCTCCAGGGCCCTCAGCCCAGCGTCTGTCCGGGGTCCCCTCCCCCGGACCAGGGGGCGGGCTGCTGCCCCCCGGCCCCACTGCCCTCCCTCCACAGCACGTGGTGCAGTGCGTGTTCGTGGCCATCCGCACCATCGGCAACATCGTGCTGGTCACCACCCTCCTACAGTTCATCTTCGCCTGCGTCGGCGTCCAGCTCTTCAAGGTGAGCCCCTCGTCCAGGTGCCCACCAGGGGCCAAGGCCAGAGCGGCCGGCCGTTCCCGCCTCAGCCCAGGGAGCCCCCACCTGGGGAAACAGGGGTCCTCAAGGCTCCCCGAGTGTCTGCCGTCTTCCTGGCCTCCCCTTGAGGAGGAAGGTGACACCCCACACCCGCCCGGCCTGCACCCACCCCTCCCAGCCCGTCAGATCCCCCTCCTCGTCGCCTGGGCTCCTGCACCCCGAGTGCCAGCTGGGGAGTCCGGCCTCAGTCCTTCTCCCAGGAGCACCGAGGGCAGGGGCCCATCGTCACACGTCTGGGCGCCACCCCCATTCTGCCCTCACTTTCTGGGAGAGCACGGCGCTCGTCTCCTCTCCAGGGACCAGCCCTGCTGGGTGTCCCTCCGGGCGCCCTGGCTGTGGGACCACCTGCGGGACTTGGAGATTGGCCCCGACCCCGCGGCTCCTCCTCCCAGGACCCGGTCATCTCCTGCCCCCACGTGTCCTGCTTGAAAATCACTAGACGGCGCCTCAGCCAGACGTAGACATGCAATGACATTCATTCATTCATTCATTCATTCATTCATCACACAGGCCCAGGGCTGCTTCCCCGGGTCAGGGCCTGGGCTGGGGGTGTGGGCCTCGGTGCCGGAGGACTGGTCTGGGCCCCGCTCCCTGGTTGGGCCACCCTCTGGGAGGAAGACCCAGGCTCCTCGGTCCAGACAATCTGCCTTCCTTCTCCTGCCCATCATTGGATCGCTGTTACCATGACAACACATCTCCTCCCTCCCCCCCCCTCCCTCCCTGTCCTGGATGCAGGGGAAGTTCTTCAGCTGCACTGACTTGTCCAAGATGACGGAGGAGGAATGCAGGTGTGCGGGGCTCTGGGGCAGGGGCGGGTGTGGAAGTGGGGGTGTGGGGGGTGTACCTGGCAGAAGGGCTCCTCACGGGAACACCTGAGGGGGGCAGGCGGCCCTTCAGGCTGGGGGAATGGGACGAAGCCCCTCGTCCCAGGAGGGGTGCCCAGCCGTGTCCCCTCAGGTCCGATCTGGACCTCCGTTTGTCCTGCACACTCACCACCCAGGGCCCGGAGGACGTGGTGGGTGGGGGGGGGGAACGGGGCGGCCCAGCCATGCCCAGTGCAGTGACTGCCCCGCAACCCCCTGAAGGGGCTACTACTACATCTACAAGGACGGGGACCCCACGCAGATGGAGCTGCGCCCCCGCGAGTGGGTGCTTAGCGACTTCCACTTCGACAACGTGCTGTCGGCCATGATGTCCCTCTTCACGGTCTCCACCTTCGAGGGGTGGCCGCAGTGAGTGAGGGCGGGGCCCGGGGCCACCAGGGCCTGGTCGGTTTGTCGGGTGACCCCCAATGTCATCGTTACAAATGGGACATCATTAAAGCATCGTGATGAGTCACAAAAACAATATGTAATGATAGGTGTGTTTTCCGATGGTCTTAGGTGACCTCTGTGAAAGGGCCGTTCGACCCCCAGGTTGAGAACCGCTGGTCTAAACCAAGCATGTCTAACTCTCGGCCAGCGGGCCGCAAGCCTCGTTTATTTGGCCCGTGTTGGCCTTTGAGTGGACATGCTGGGTCTAGAGAGCCGTGGTCGGCAAACTGCGGCACGCGAGCCACAGGCGGCTCTCTGGCCCCTTGAGTGTGGCTCTTCCTACGCCTTAGGAGGACCCTAATGAAGTTCATAACCATGCACCTACCTATAGAGTTTCAGTTTGAAAAATTTGGCTCTCAGAAGAAATTTCAGTGGTTGTCCTGTTGGTATTTGGCTGTGTTGACGAATGAGTTTGCCGACCACTGACCTAGAGGACTTGTCACTCCAAAGGCAGCCAGGGAGGGGCTCTGAGCCATGTCTCCATCGGCGGAGGGCTCTCTGAGGGATGGGGGAGAGGGGCACCCCGGGAAAGGCGGGTGCATCCTGGGGTCGGTCCCAGCCTTCCCCGGCACGATCTGACTTGCTCTCCCACGCCCGCCCCAGGCTCCTGTACAAGGCCATCGACGCGTACGAGGAGGACAAGGGCCCCGTCTACAACCACCGGGTGGAGATGGCCATCTTCTTCATCGTCTACATCATCCTCATCGCCTTCTTCATGATGAACATCTTCGTGGGCTTTGTCATCGTCACCTTCCAGGAGCAGGGCGAGACCGAGTACAAGAACTGCGAGCTGGACAAGAACCAGGTGCCCGGCCCAGCCTGGACCAGCCCGGCCGCGCGGCTCAGAGGCTGAGGGTCGACCCATAAACCAGGAGGTCACGGTTCCATTCCCGTCCGGGCTCCTGTGGGCTCGGCCCCCAGCCGGGGGCATGCAGGAGGCAGCCAGCCCATGATGCTCTCATCATTGATGCTTCTCTCTCTCTCCCTCTCCCTTTCTCTCTGGAGAGTCCTGGGCTGGGGTGACCCAGATCCTCCGCTTGCAGCCTCCATGCACCCACCCCGTCTCCCCCCCATCGCCAGTGGGAAGCCATACGAGCTGATGGGTGGGGGTCTTCTCATAGGACCCTTGTGATGCTCAGAGGAAGGAAGCCCTTCAGAGCCCTGCTCTGGACAAGGGTCATGTTAACAAAGGCCCGTGATGACCAAGGGGGATCCCACCAACCCCCGGACCCTTCCCCTAAAGCAGGGGCAGGGAACGTCCGGCCCGCGGGCCGTATAAGGCCCGTGAAATCATTTGGTCTGGCCCTGCTGAGGCATTGGGGGTGAAATCATTAAATGTTTGACCAAATATATAGCAGGCCGACTTGTTTTTAAAGTATATTTGTATTGATTTGAGAGATGAAGGGAGGGAGAAAGAGAGAAACATCAATGATGAGAGAGAGAGAGAAACATCAATGATGAGAGAGAGAGAGAATCATCGATCGGCTGTAGCGGGCTCATGTTTGAGTGGATCGTTTTGTATGGCCCACGAATGATGCCATAAACCTCCAAATGGCCCCTGGCAGGGAAAAATGTTCCCCACCCCTGCCCTGCACGGTCCAGCAGAGACCCCCAGCCATAGGCTCCGGACGTGCCAGAGGGGGTGTCCCCTCCCTCCCGCCGGTGGGTGTGGGCGCGGAGGGGGTGGGCGCTCCCGGCTGACGGCCCCTGTGTGTGTGTGTCTCAGCGCCAGTGTGTGCAGTACGCCCTGAAGGCCCGCCCCCTGAAGTGCTACATCCCCAAAAACCCGTACCAGTACCAGGTGTGGTACGTGGTCACCTCGTCCTACTTCGAGTACCTGATGTTCGCCCTCATCATGCTCAACACCATCTGCCTGGGCATGCAGGTGAGGCGCGGACGTGAGGCCTGAGGGGCCGGGGTGGGCGGGGTCCGGACTGGTCCCCCATCTCTTCTTCCCAGTGCCCCTTGGGATAGAGGCGTGAACTGGCCCAGTGTCTATTAATATATTTTTATGGATTTCAGAGAGGAAGGGAGAGGGACAGAGAGAGAAACATCCGTGATGAGAGGGAATCATGGATCGGCTGCCTCCTGCACACCCCACACTGGGGATGGAGCCTGCAACCCGGGCCTGTGCCCTGACCGGGAATCGAACCCTGACCTCCTGGTTCATAGGTCGACGCTCAACCCCCAGGGTTTTGAGATTAAAGAGAGCAGTGGCCGGGGGCCCGGGGAAGTGGGGGGCGCTCTGGGAGTGCCATCTGCAGGATGGAGAAGCCAGACCGCCCCCCAGCCCTCTCCTGTGCCCCCCTCCCCCAGCACTACAACCAGTCGGAGGAGATGAACCACATCTCCGACATCCTCAACGTGGCCTTCACCATCATCTTCACCCTGGAGATGGTCCTCAAACTCCTGGCGTTCAAGGCCAAGGTGAGCACCAGCCCTAGTCCAGGCGGGTGGCTGAACCCGGGGCGGGGCCTCCTCATACCCCCCTTTTTCCAAGCTACTCACCCCCGTGGCCATGTCCACCTGCAGACGTGGACGGGCAAGAGAGTCAGGCTGCCCGCCCCCCGCCCCCAGCCTGGCTTCTGAGGCTCAGCCCATGGCTGTGGGGGTGGGGGGACCCCCTTGACTCCCAAATCCACCACCTCATGCCCAGCCCAGCCGCACCCTGGCAGGTCTGCACTGCCCAGCCACGGCCGGGCTTCGAGGGAGGCGGGTGAAAGAGCTCTCCATCTGGACCCGGACCCCAAACCCTGAGTTCCGAGCTCCCCCACACTGACCACATTATTATTTATTTTTTTAAGAAAATTTTCTTATTGATTTCCAAGTGGAAGGGAGAGAGGGAGGGAGAGAGAAACATCAATGATGAGAGATCGAGCCTACCTCCCGGGCGTGTACCCTGACCGGGAATCGAACCCCAACCTCCTGGTTCATAGGTCGACGCTCAGCCACTGAGCCAGGCCGGCCGGGCCCACTGACCCCTTTATGTCTGGAGGAAACTAGGACCAGAGAGAGAAGGCCTGGGGGGGAAGGGGGGCAGGAGCTCCAGGAGAGGGGAACCCCCCGGGCCTGGCCCCGAGTCTGCAACCCCCCCGACACCCCGCACGGGCCTCCCTCCGGAGCGCCTCTCCCCATGCCTCCTCACCCCGATTCCCGTCCCCGTCCCCCCAGGGCTACTTCGGGGACCCCTGGAATGTGTTTGACTTCCTGATCGTCATCGGCAGCATCATCGATGTGATCCTCAGTGAGATTGATGTGAGTGGGGGAGAGGGTGAGGCGGCCTGGGAGTCTGGTGCCTCCCCTCCTCT